TGTTTTAGCTGATCAAAAGTTGCAGGATTGGTTTTCCTAGCATCAGAAGTATCTAAAATTACATCAGAAATATTCCCACATTCTTTATTCTTTTTACCAGGCTTCAAAGAGAGTAAAACCCTGGAAGCTGGCTATGGTGTTTTGGCATGGCGTTAGAGAATCCAGCTTGTTTTGTAAGGCTGAGAATGCCCTTCTTGGGTTTGATACCTAGGCCAAGCTGGTCCTCTGCAGTTTTTCGCCTCCTCCCTTTGTGTGTGTGTTTAAGATGAGAAGGTTACTTAATTGAGAAGATTGCTGGCATTCCTTCAAGTTCTGCAACCACATTAAATTTGCAAAGGGATCCAAAAATTTTATTGTTTCTGTTGTAAACAGATTATACTGGATTAGTGGTTAGCATTTTGCATGCTTGTTCTTTTTGTCCGTTTAGTCCTGAAAATCTTGAATTGTGTTGTTGCATGTTGCAAATAGCACAGGCACTTTTCTCTTGCTTTTGTTACTGGTGGCCAGAAACCTTCATTTTCCATATGCCTTAGCACGGAGAAGGGGACTGTGCAAATAAACTACTGTTACCTTCTAATAACAACTGTTTTCATGAGGTACAATTTTCTGATGTAAGCACAATTTTGCTTTGAAATACTAGCATTACTTGCTATAATAAAGACAGGTAGGGATGCGCATGTGTGCGTGCGTGTGTGTGTAGTCATTGCTCTTCCTTCAGACAGCAGGATAGTACTTGGTAGATCCCAGGACTCATCCAGAACAGTACACAGCCCCTGAAGTTCTCTTGTTTTGAACTAAACATTAAATAAATGTCAGTAGAATATTATGCAAATCTGTAACACTGTATTTCCTTTAATTATTATGTGCAAGATGGGCAAGTACAGAATATTTCTATTTTAAGGTAATCCTAAGGTTTACTTACCTGTCACAGAGGGTCAGATTTAGCCAGTTCTACAGCTGAGCTTTGAGGTGATCAGGGAAAAAAATTAAACAGTTCTTACATGGGGATTAACAGAAGCTGTTCCATGAGCTTAGTGTCTCTGTCCTGGAGGGCAGGAGGCAGTGGTGCTTTGATGGAAGACTAGTGACCTTGCTTTTTCCTGCTTCCAAAAACCTTCCCTCAAATTTATGGAGCTGGGCCTCCATCTTACATGCTGCCATCTCGCTGCTTCAGTTTTTTAGTTTTTCTTTCCATGAATGCGAGAGGCAGAATTTCTACCTAGTCACAACAATAAAAGACCTGTTTTTATAAAACAGCTAGATTTTCTTGACTGTGCTAAACAACCATAACCATACCTTGTTGCAGCCTCCCACCTTGACCATCATGTCCTATCCTATTCCTCCTCCCTACCCCCCTATTTGCAAGGAAGAGAATTTCAAAAGTCTTTGAAGAAATGGCTAAAAGCATGAGCAGGAGATCCAGACCAAATGCTTGAAGAGAGATATTTGTAGTCATGTTTGTATGCAAACTTTATCTGGTTGTCTGAAGACTGTCTCAGCATTTAAAAAAAAAAAACCAAAAAACAGTTAGTTCTGTATGTATCTGTGCAAAGGCATAAATTAAACCTCATTTCCATACTTTTATACAACTGTTAAGTTTCATCAAGTTCCCCCACTCCCCCCTTGTTAATGGCCCCACATGGTTAAAGTCTGTGGTTGAAAAAATATGTAGTACTTGCCATGTTTGATGTTTGCAGTGAGAGGAGTTTGACTGAACAGCTTAAATGGTGGAAGTAATTTTCCAGAACATCACTTTTTTTTTTTTTTTTTTTTTAAGGGCTTTAAGAGAGCATATTGTTTGTCAAAAGTGCTGGGAGGGTTGTGGTTGTGTGTCTGGGTACTGTCACTACCAACTGATGTAGGCCTAATGGATTTTCTGAGAAGACTCGAATGGGAGAAAATTCATGTCATGAGAAGAAGCATCTGAAAACAAATGTTAGATGACTTTTGGTCTGTATTGTCTTTTTGATTTCCATAGCTGCTTGAAACTGGGCTAAAAGGCTGCCTGCAATCAGGTCAACAACAAAACTGGTTAGGGAGGTTGTATGTTCTTGCCTGTCTGTGTGGTCTTCTGGTTTTCCCAGAAGCTCTCTAGAGTAGGTGCTTGCCACTATTCTGGAATAGCCTGCCAGGCTTTGCTGCTCCTGGCAGAGGCATTTTTAAAGAGGCCGTATTTCCAAAGTTAGAACTATTGCTAAATAAGTCCCTGACAGGTCCTTCTTTGAAAATGGATGGAACTTGTGATTGCTGTTGTTATTACTGTTATTATTTCTGAGCAGCACCATTTGTAAAGTTAGACCAATAGCATAATGAAAAATTAAAGCATTCTAAAATTAAAATTTCTAGGACGAGTAGAACAAGTCATGAAACATGAGTTCACTAAAGACCTAGGAATAATTAGGTATGTGTTCACTTATGAATTCTGTGTTGCATATCTCTATGGAAGCACTTTGTTCATACAGGTATTAAAATGCATGTAAAACCAGCATTTACTTATGGGGTTGGTACTGTTAATTTCCACAAGTCCACATTTGGAAGTCTTAAAAATCTAAGATGATTTTTAGTTCAGTGTGCAAAACAACTATAGTTATTCTTGACAGTGTTTTTCCAGATCCTCAGAACTTAAATTTCAGCTCCTAATTCTGAAATAACCTAAGTTAACTTTTTGTCTATGCATTCAATAAAGATGTAAATAATCAGTATTTTAAGTAGCTTGATCAGATGGCTCTGCTTGGAAGCTTTTGGGCCATTTTTTTTGGTTTGTTTTTTTTTTTTTACTGCAGAAGCCCATCCCCATGAAAATAAGGTTGTTTACAGGTATAGTCATGTAATGTGACTGCATTGTCAAAGGATTTAATTGCATGATGAATTTTCAAGGGTGACCTGGTGGCTTACTTCACTACAACAGCAGGCTTTATCTGAGACCTATTTACAGTTTTCATGGTTAAAGAACTGTAACTCAGGACAGGTGGGAATGTAAAACTGCTTTGATAGAATCTTTTGTGCTTGGACAATTGTAATCCTTGGTGGGTTTGTGTACTGAGAAGTTTTATCTCAAAAGCTGTTTTTGAAAGCTGTATTGGCAATGGAACTGCAAGTTCTGTAAAACTGCATTGCTGAAGTTGTTAGTTTCTAGTTTGTAATATGAGTATTTTGGTTTGTTTTTTAGTAAACACTGTGCTCTTAAACAATATTGCAAGTGACAACAATATTGCAATAAAATGTAAATGTTGTAAGTGAGAATGCATACAGAACACAAACATCTTTTAATAAATTCTCAAGTTCTTGAAACTACTAGAGGCAAAAACTCCCTTGTTTTTTCTCCCTTCCTCAAGTAATGCAGTTTTGGAAGTTCATTTCTTGGTCTCTTCTCCTGCCCCCTCTCAAAAATCTATTTCTTTTTACATACATACTCATCTCCCTGTACCCACTACATGTCTTGGAAAATTGTCTTGGAATAGGTTGGTGATAACTGGTCAGCACAATCTGAAACCAATTGACATACCAGTTAATAACACTGAGGCAGGTTTGTGGGCTGCCTTCCTAGGGTATGTGCAAAGAAGGGAATGATTGTGAGCTTAAGTATAAGATTTTGACTTTTTTTTTTTTTTTTTTTTTTTTTCTGATGTTATAGACTGGGTAGTAGTAGAGAGAAAGAATTGCCGAGCATCCTTTATAGTGGCACATATTTCTGTTGGAGAATAGGATTAAAAATATCTGGTGTACTGTTGGAATAACTAAATGGAACCTACATGGCATTGTTTAATGAACGAAAAAACAATGAGCAACCACCCAGTGAGCTGAACATCTTTCAAATGTATAACACTGTGCTGCAGTACAAATAGCAGTGTGGATAAATGTGCTAGTTTTAAGTTTCATTTCAAACTAGAAGAAATATTTGGTTCAGTTACGTATAATTGTCTTGAGTGCAATGTACTTAAAAGGAACGTTAATGACTACTGTACTGAATAGAGAAATGCATAATACGTTACTTAAAAGACAACATGTTTTTATTTTCCTTTTGTATTTTTAAGAGTGAATTGAAAAAGGAATACATTAACTACAAAAAAGGGGTGCCTAAAATGCACTGTTTCCATGTAATGATGCAGCATTATAAGGAGATTTTTTTTTTTTTTTAGAAGGGTCAACAACTTTTAAGTATTTTTTCACATCACTTCCTTATCCTACTGAATTGCTTCACCTCTCTGTGCACATTTAAGGGGATTATCTCCTTATCTGAATAATTGCAGACAGCTGTTCTCAGTAACTGAAACTTGGTAGATTAATATTTTGAAATTTTTGTTGTTGTCATCATTTTTGTATATTCTGTACTCTTCATGTTATGAGTTCCTACATTTTAAACCCTAATTGATTTTTAGCTACCTTTTTATAATAAATAATACATGTGAAGTTAAGTAGTTTTTTGTGTTGAGGAATTATTAAATCCATTACAATTGAACATTACATTCTTGGTCAGTGATGATTTTTTTTTTTTTAATGCCACACACTGTGGATATAATAAGCTGAATGCTACTTTTGAGTTTATCCCGCCCTTCCCCACCCGATCTAAATTAAAACTGATCTCTGAAATTTAAGAATGTTTTCCAGCCTTTCTTCTGCAGTTGAGAACAGTTTTGCTTTTTTCATTTACATTGGTAACTTTTGAATCTTATATATTACATACTTAAGTTTTAATACATCTCCCTTACCCTTTCTCAGGACCACTTCTCTTCTTTGCAAGAAATGCTTCCAGTATCTATCCAAAAAGTAGCGGTATCACAATACCATTATTTTTATTAAATCATTATCACTAAAAATTGAGAAATCCTGAGAAACAGAATGTGTGAAAACAGGTAAAAAAATGTAATACTGATATATTGATGAGGGGAAAAAAAAAAAAACAAACCAGGAATTGAATTCCTGTAGGTTTTAATTTGGTAAATTATCTTTGCTTTTTTTCTTTTTTACAATAAGTTGATATTTCTTCTTTGACTTTTCAGGCACAGGTACCTTTGGGCGTGTTCATCTGGTGAAGGAAAAAATGGCCAAACGTTACTTTGCACTGAAAGTAATGAGCATTCCTGATGTCATTCGACTGAAGCAAGAGCAACATGTGCACAATGAAAAGTCAGTCTTGAAAGAGGTCAACCACCCCTTTTTGATCAGATTGTAAGTTGTTGTATTTTTTTAATTCATTTAACTCATGTATAAAGTGCAGTTAAAGTGTTCCAGAGTCTCACTGCAAGTTCTTATGTACCTAATCAACACCAAGCATTTAATTTCTACTACGTAATCTAGACTAAAATAGACTTCAGACTAAAATGTTTATTATAGAAGAATCAAGAAGTTTAAATAAAGAGGCATAATTTAAACATTTAAGCAATAATTTATTATAAGCTTTACTCTGTCTCTTATTTTCATAGGGCAGAAGAGAAATTTTCCTAAGTGAGGGGAAAATACTGATGAAGAAATGTTAGGATTGGCTCATCAAAATGACTACTAGAATGATTCTTGATGTTAGAATGGCGAGAAAAGAAGTATTTCTACATCTGTATTTCCTGTAGATGTCTAGATAAAGATATAATTAGATTTAAGTGTCTGCTTTTTGAAAACTTTTGTGAACTTTCTTTTTCAAGAGTTTAAATGATTGCAGCACTTTTTGGGCTTTGTTATTCCCATATTTGAGGTTAAGTGATGGAACCTAGTGAGAAACATGATTTAAACACAGTTCATGAAGAATACTTTTTTAAGTGGAATTGTGATGATTCTAGTGATCCCTTTATTAAGGAGAGAAGGCATCATACTTTTCTGTTCACAGTACCACAGCGCCTTTTGTGTATCTGAGTCCATATTTATTAATGGGATAACTAAACCTCTGGATAATTGCACAGTTAATTTCCATGTATATTTTCTCATGCATGGATACAGTGCCATTGACCAAGACTTGTTTTGCATTTACCTGCCTTAATCAGTTTTACATAAAATTAGACAAAATTAGCTTTAGTTAATCTCTGGCTGCAGGGATTGCAGCCTCCTTCCAGGGCTAAGAAAGTATCAGAGAGAAAGGAAGAGGCAAAAGCATGGTAGTCGTCCAAAAGGTGGAGAGAGGCCTGCAGGAGGAGGCATTTTCCCTGGTGTGCTGTTGCTTTTTGCAGCGTCGTGATGCTGTTAGTTTCCAGCCAGTGTTCAGATATCCTGTGCGTGCCATAGTATCAATAAGATGAGTTCTGGGGTATGTGGAATTTGAGATGCATGTGGGAAAGCAAGATGCAGAGGCTGAGTACATCAGGTTAGACTGGTTAAAATATGGACGGAACAGGGGGAACAGGGTTTTGTATGTGTATCTATGTACATACATAAATTCTTTTAAAAAAAAAACAACAAAAAAAACCCCCAAAAAAACAAAACCAAAAAACACCCAAACACCTACCAAAACCAACTGACCAAACAAAAAAAACCACCACCACCCCAGTACATCTGTGCGTCTAGAACAGCGCAGTACGTGTGGGAATAGAGAAACTTAGGTTAGAAGTCAGACAGGAATGTAAGGGTTCTTGTCTGTACAGAAGTTATCAAAAATCCAAACTGATAAGTTTTCTTGGATTTTGTTCATGCCTTAGTTCCAAAATGTCAGATTTTAAAGTTGCCAAAGGAAGGACACAATTCAAATGGAAGTTAACTTGTGTGTGAGGCAAACATTTGTCATGTCTTCTAGCTCTCTGCCTTTTCTGTTGACATGCTCAGTGAAATGCTGCATCAGCTATGCTCATGTAATTGTCCATGTGCTGCCTTTGTCCCTTGGAAAAGGAGACTCAAAGCAACCTAGCTGAAATGAGGTAGTTAAATTTTAAGTCATGTTAATATTTGTGTGCTTTAGTTTAAACAAGCATTCATGTACAGTTATTGCTGACTTGATGACAAATAAAACTTTCTGCAGCTTTTTGTGTGGTTAATAGCTTTTTTCAGCTGCCTCCTCCCCTGCCCGATACGTGGTTTTTTTCCATGAATTCTTTGACTATACTTGATCAGCAAAAAGGGCAAAAATTCTCTATATAGTTCTGCTTCAATGCCTTTGAACTGTGTTGTCTACATGGTTTGGCTTTTATATTTTCAGTTAGTGTCACCACCTTAAACATGGATAGTATCTTCCTCTGGTTGTGAAAGAAGGAATATATGCCAGTGCAGCGTAATACGGTATTTTTTTAGCACTTTATTATGGAGAATTTTAAAGTAATGCTGCATGTAATTTATTTCTGGTGTTCATCCTTCCTATATATTCCTATATATAAAAACTTTCATATATGATTTTTTTTTTTCCTTTCCTGTTACTTTTGAGAAATGTTCTTCCTGCATGTAGGAAGGTCCTGAATCAGTTTTTCTGTAGAGAATGTAGTTATTATCTACTTATTTCTTTGAATTGTTTTTTGGAAATGCTTGTTTGCCTAGGAGTCTCCAGTGACCAGTTGTTCAGGAGCACCAATCTTTACTCACATGTTTGAGTGACCTATCATAACTGTGGGTGCAGCAGTTCATATTATACTATAATTTTGGCATCTATCTTTTTGATTTTTTTCAAGAGAACAAGAATTACTAAAAGTCAACCGTGTCTTATAGTCTTATAAGCTGAAATAGGTTATTTGTCTGTAAGAGTTCACAGTGGCATCCAAAGTTTATGTAGTGAAGCTGAATTTTAAAATTACCTGACACCATGCATATTATTCTAATCACAGCTTCTGTGATATTTTCCTTTTGTGTATTAATTAAAGTTTTTTTTTTTTTGTTACTCTTCACATATACTAAATAAAGTGTCCATTTTTCTGTGGATAGCTTTAAGAGTCAGTTCTTGAAGAAATTAATTCCAGTAAAAATACTGTGTTTTAATGGTCTAGGTCTTCCATTTTTTTCTCTGCATTCTTTGTCAGATTTTGTTCTTCCTCTCACCTGTATATGGCTTTTTAAATACGTGGTTTGCTTCATTTTGCCCATTCCTGTTCCTCTTTCTTTGTTTACTGTTGGTGCAACTTGGCCTAACTCCTTAAAACACATCTCAAGAGTGTTTTTACATAGTCAATAAAGATACTATGAACATCATCAATAGCCAATTAATGATGTTGATGACTATGTGATAGGGAAGTAGTGCCATAAAAGCAAAGGCAAGCCTGGGCTCTGCTTTCTCCATCACTTTAAAGGAATGGAGGAGCTGTTGCTTATGTCTGATAGTCTTGTCTCATTTTCTTGGTTGCCCTCAGTGCCACTATCAAGAAAGAAAATCTTACTGAGCAAAAGTCACTCATGGGTTTGGGAGCTCAGTTTGCTCTGCTCATGTTTCTTGAGACTCTATGCCTTGATTAGGAACCAGCTAATGAAGAAAAAAAAAGAAAAAAAGTACATTTGATCATTCGTTCTTGTGATACTGCAGAAACAGCAGAAGCTAAAGTAATTTCTTGTATAATTAAAGTAGGCAGGGATACAGTGTTCTTTATCTGTTATCATAGTAAGAGGGATAGCTGTTTGGTTTAAAATGGTAGAATATTCTTCAAGATGTTACCAGATACTTATTTGCTTCTTAACTATTGAGTTACATTTGGGTGTGTGGTATATGAGTTGTTTAATGTGGGTAGAAAGAAAAACAGCTTGGTTTTGGGGAATGTGGAAGAGAAGATTCCTGTGTTCTGTAATGAAGCATTTGAAAGCCACGTGGAATGATTTTCTTTCTTCCTTAGCTGCTCTTTACTGCTCTCTAGTAATGACTGTACCATAATAATAGTTCTTAAATTAAAGGCAACAGTCTGAGGAATGGAAGGTACTTACCATCAGGTTAATCTGAGGTACAGAAATGAATATTGTTTCGCTGGCATTTTTGCTTTTCTGCTGCTTTTGGTAAAGATACTGTAGAAGAGCAAGTATTGTGATCTGATGCTTATCTAGTGACTAATCACTTTAGTTGGGGTTGTGTATTTCCGGGGAGGAAGGGATAGGAGAGGGGAAGGAGAACTCTGGTGTCCTGTTTTTGAACATATTGTCATAAACATATTTACAAAAGCAGATTCTGCTCACCTCTCATCACTTTGGCAATATTTGATTAAATAAAATGTAAGGTGTGTGACAATTGTCTGGTCTTAGCAGACTGGCATTATACTAAGTCAGTTATTAGGTGCTTAGCAGAGACCAGTTTTGTACAATGCAACAGAGTCTATCAGTTAGATTTTCTTTCTTAGCCTGTGCTGTGCGAATCCTGAACTGTCTGTTTTACTTTTCAGGTGAAGTCAGCTACTTGAACGTGTATTCCATAGTCCTGCTAGATTCTTGGGGTTTTAGTATTTGCAGAATAGGAACCATAAATTAATTATGTACGTAGTTGGGGAAGAGACATCATTTTACAGAAATTTACTTCTAAAGCAAATCAGAGATATAATCTGTTTATTCATTAAAATAATATTTTTGTTACAGATTTTGGACCAACCATGATGAACGTTTTTTATACATGTTAATGGAATATGTGCCAGGAGGAGAACTTTTTAGTTATCTGCGCAACATGGGGCGTTTCAACAACAGCACAGGACTGTTTTACTCAACAGAAATTATTTGTGCAATAGAATACCTGCACTCCAAAGAAATAGTTTACAGAGACTTAAAACCTGAAAATATATTATTAGACAAAGAAGGACATATCAAGCTAACTGATTTTGGATTTGCTAAAAAGCTGGTGGATAGGTAAGTGGGGTTTTGTTATGGTTTAATGTGCAAAATGTAATTACAGTTGGAAGAAAAAAAGTTTGATTTCGGAGCTCAGCATTTCACCTAATACTCAGTGTGGTTCCCGCATGTCAAATCCCTTAATATGAAGGAAATTATTGTCTTAAAATGACTGTATGGAAACCACTATCACACCTTAGGTATAAGTAGGAGCAATATCACAGATAAGCTACCATAGAAAAGTATTTTATATGAGTAGGTTTCTATATTTAAGTTGTCAGCAGTCGTCTTATAAAAAGGGAGTTCAATGAAGTAAAGTGAGCAAATATCGAGACATGTACATCAGTACATTAAATGGGACATTAATTTTCCATACAAGTTGAATTGCCAGATGTTTTGTAACTGCTGTTTCCTTCTGCTTTCCTTTTAGAGAGATTTTTGAAATGTGGAAATAACATTTTAAAACTGGATACTGTGTTTTCACTAGCCTGTTGCTAAAATGAAACAGAAAAATCTAGACAGAAACAAGGCCATCTTCAGAAGTATTTATTTAACTGTAACTTCTACAATACTGTCAGCCTTATGTCTGTTTTACTAGCGTATGTAAACTTTTTGAAAATGCAGAGGTGTTTTCCCCAGTGATTTCTTTGTTCTCTCTGTTTGAACTACCCTTCCAAGATTATAATACATGTTCTTAAAAGGAAGGAAGAGCTGTCATTGGGATTGAAAATAAGGGAGGAAAAAAAGAGCCTGTCATATTAGAATAGTGGCATTACAAGGTTTGGTATTGTGCTCTAGGGTCGATTATTCTAGTTGAGGCAGCCTAGTAAGTGAGTTTCATCCTCTTCACTCACCTGTTTTACCTGTTTGATGCTGCCTTTACCACAATTGGGGGTGGGGGAGGAGTTGGGGGCAGAGTTCTACAAGATCAATTTGAAATTATGGTGGTTCTGAGGGATCTACTCTTACTGGATCCCTTATGAAGTAAAAGTCAGATGGGACAGATCAAGTTGTGTTAGAGAGGTCGTGAAGGTTACTTCCCTACGGGTTACGTGCTGCCAGTGCTGAGTTGCCTCGGCACAGAAGAATGGTAGGCAACTAGTAAGTGCGCTGGTTCTATTCACCCTTAAGGTCTAAAAGTCTGTTTTAAAACCATAGTGTTTTAATATCAGTATGTTTGATTGAATTCAGTTTCCACTGGGAAGCAGATAGGTCTACAAATGTTGGCTTTTTTTAAAAAAATATTTTTGTTTTAAATCAAAATAACTTTTTGTAGGAAGAGGTAAGGCTAATTCCATGTAAAAAAAGTGGGACGATCTCTTTATTAAGACATTTTCATACAAATTCTTACGGCTTCCTTTTTACATGTAGATAGTGCCACTTAGTGGTTATTCTTAATTTGGATTTCTGTGGGTTTCGGGCACAACAGAAGTAACCTTTCATTAAATAAGGTGATAGATCATATCAAAGTATATTTTTCAATCTGGAAGATGAATCTATAAGAGTAAGTTTGATCAATTACATTGTAGGACATCAAAACAAGTTATCACTACTTTTTTAGTTGGTTTTTTTTGCATCCTGTCTTGCTGGGAGTGGGGAGAGGTACAGGGACGGTGGTGAAGTTGAACTGAATCATAGAATGCTATAGCTGTTTTTATATTAATACCTGCATTATCTATAAATGTACAACAGCTAATATAAAATGCAGAACACAAAGTTGGAAGGAGCGAGGACTTTATCATTTAGAGCACAGTAGTTACCTATGCAAGTCTGATTCCTCCACCCCCCTCCCCAACTATGTAGTATTCACCCTACTAGCTGTAGTCATTTTCACAAAACTGTTTTTGTCACTGTAAAGATACACAGTTGTCAGCAATTTATCCACTAATGCACTCCAGTAGGTTATTTTGTTTCATAGACTATTTGACCTAAAGTATAGATGTTTGCCATGCATAGAAATGACAAAATATCTATACATATGAACCTTACATGTGTGTATGTGTATATATGTATACATACATACAGGGCCTATGAGTTGTGAAAATAAAACACAAAGTATATGTTTTTCAAACAGCTGTGATGAAGCATGCCACTTAGGACCAACAAATATTTCCTTAGAGAAACATGATGTGAAATAAACCGTGGTCTGCAGAAGACCTTCAATACAAGTACATATTTCTTGATACATATTATTTCCTGTGAATGATTCTGTAGTTGCTTAATTGAGACATATCTGTAAGCATTTGCCTTTCATCCCACTATCATGTGTGAAAGGGTGAAGTGTTCACCATGTCCATCCATCTACAATTAAGCTGCTCTTTAGAGAGGGTGGCTGGCTTATAGCTCATGTTCCCGCCGTGGGAAGCAGCCTGCACATTTTCCTTCATGTTAGTAAATTTTCTGAAGGGCTAGACTCTAATATTTTTTTCCTAGAGAAGGAGGAAAGGGAGGAGGTTTTCTTGTCTCCTTCTGTTCCTTATTGATATGTCCTTCTGTTTATCCTTGTTCTTCCCCTTTTTGGTCATAGTGTGCTTCTAAAAAGTCTAAATTTTTCTCCAAAACAGTGTGTCTTTGCCTCAGCTGCTGTTTATTTCTCCTCTTTTCCACCTTGGTGTTCCTTAACTGAAGACTTAATAACCTTTTCAGGTTCTTGTAAGTACATTCACATAAAATAGATGTGCCACTACTTTGAAAAAGGGGCAGTGTCAAAAAAAAAATGAGCAACAGGGAGGCTGGAATAAATGACTATTACCTGAAGGATGTAGGAAGGATTTGCTTCAAATTTTATAGCCATTACATTTTTAGACCTTCCTTTCTCTGGAAAGCATATACTACTTTTCAGGTATAATATATCCATTGAGCATGTTTCTGATCTTTATTACTGTTTCATTTTTGTTGGTTCCACCCCCCCCTTGTGTTCTTTCAGAGAAACTGAAACAAAAGTTCATAGAATTTCCTATTTTTGATGCACAGATTTCACTGAATTTTGTGAAAATTCTAAGTAAATTTACAATTTTTTTTAGAAGAATATTATTCACTTCATTTTAGTTTGTTAGTTTAAATTAATAAAAAAATGAACATTAAATATTTTGGGGATACTTTGGCACTGTTGCTTAAAGTGGATGTAACTCATGACTATTCTGCCAAGTGGACTTGAAGAGAAGGTCAAAAAACAAGATGTAGCAAATCTCGTTTGTAAAGTGTATTGTATGTTACTGTAGAAGCAAGAATGTCTTGCAGAACAAACTTTTGTGGGCTGGAAACAAAGCAATCTCCATTGAGTATAATTATGCAGAAACTTCCAGAAGAGAACACCAAAAAGGACATTGTTGTTAATCTCTGGCTTGTATATGAGAAGCTTGTGAGGGACTACAGAGGTGGATGCTGAATAGTGTAGAACGCTAAAATATGTTAACCATTGAGACTTAACTACTTCAAATGATACTGTTAACAAGTCCCACAGATATTATTTTGTAGCTTATTTTTCTGACCAGAGTAGATTCTTTGTTTCCCTTTCACGTTTTGAAATTACATGTTCAACCTTATTCAACTATTGCTTACCTGTACTTCAGCTTTTATCTTGAAAACCCAGAGCAGTGGAATTTCTGTAGCAGTTTGAAGGAAACAGTCTATTCTTATTTTTCTGCTTTATAATTTATCTTCAAAAGGATAATCGGGAGTTTCAGATTAATATGCAACAGTCATAAAATAGTGATGATTAAAAAAATTCTTAATTTGGTCTTTGTATAGAATTTACTTGATGTGCATTTTCCAAAATATTAAATAGCTTGTTTCATGACCAACAAAAGAGGAAATACAAGGCATGATCATATGGCACAAATACATAGCTTGACAAAGAAGTTGAGCTTCCTCCAAATTTTTGTGTAGTTAGTAAACACAAATTTCTTGATTGAAATTGATTGAGCAGTAGATGACCTGCTGGTGGCAATACATTTTATTTCCTGGTACAACTAGGGGACTTCAAGTTACATTGGCCTCTCCTTAATTTGTGGTTTTCCTTTTGCTTGAATAAAAAAAGATCTTGTTATTAACCTGTAAGGTAATTAAGGGTCATTTTAGTTACATTGTCACTGGCAAATTATGTGGGTCCTGGAAGTCATAGTCAAGTGTTAAACTGTTTTTTTTTTTTTGTATCCCAAATGACCTTGATAAGGGATGCAAACCACCAAAGACTGCATCTTTGCTGAGCTTGTGCATTCATAGTGCTGGCAATTTTGGGGGAGGAAAGGATGACTGTTGTGGGGCATTGTCCTGCAAACTGTCCGGCTTGTCCATTAAAACAAATGTGCCTGCCCTGTTTGCTTTATTTGTACAGCCCTTCTTCCCAAATACAGTAAAACTGGTAGCTGCTTCATTTGCAGAGCTGGCTAAATCAGCATGAATAAAAATTCATACAATGGATTGTAATATGGCTATATAAACTTGGGGAAGGGCGGGCTGTTTTGTTTTAAAAGACAACAAAGCTTTGTTTTTTCTTAATTACCTAGTCCTGATCTAGGCAACTGCTAGATGGCAGTAGTGTGTAAAGCAGTGCTGTATGTAGGCATTTTCTTGAGTATGCTTGATTTGGAAAAAGAGAGTTTATATTTTCTAGCAATAAAAATCGTATCACCCTTTCATGATAAAAAATAAATATGTATTCTTTACACTAATGAACTTAGTTTCAAGAACCATGAAGCACTTGGGTGCATAGTGTGTCAAATGAATCCTGGCAGTTTAGCCGAGTAATTTAGCTTTTGTCATATTAAAATCGGGCCTAAAGAAATTCAGTTGTGTGTATCATAAATCTTCATTTAAAGTCTTGACTGACTATACACTCCTCTTCCTTGATCTTAAGTATTTTTATGAATCAAGGCTAAGGCTTAAAAAAAAAACCAAAGAAAGAAAAGGGGGGGCAGGAAACACCCAAAAGCTATGTTTAAAATAATTCTGCAATCTCAGAAAAGTATATTATTTAAAATAAAATTATGTACCATAGGTGCATCTTGAATATTGATTTATGGTTAGGAAAAAGAAGGTTTGTTAAGTTTAGCAGAACAGTGGTAGGAAAAACTAGAAGTTCAAAGAAGTATATATTACTTCTAAAAGTGATTGCTGTTCATCTCAATGCATTTGTTCAGGACCATGTTACCAGTTTGATTCATGCCTTGGAGAAGATTCTTCCTGCGCTCACAAATAAAATAATTAGAGTTTCTTTTGCTGCAAGTTAGAAATTGTGTGCAGTGACCATTAATTTTGTGTCTATATTCTTTGTCATTTCTTACTAGAACTCTTCTTAAAATGCAGTATGCTTTTTTTTTTTCTTGTTCTCTGCTGTTATTTCATCTCTTGAATTGATGAGCACTTTTTCAGAGTTTCCTCTTCTGACTTGCTGTCAGGGAAGTGTAATTCAGAATGAAAACACATTTTTTTTTTTCTCTAGCATGTATTTAAACATAAGTCAAGGTAGTGAAGCCAAGCAAACTCTGCATGAGTATTTTTACAAAGAAGATTGCGTGTTTCTGAAAGAAATTGTTTCAGAATATTCTGTGTTTCAAATTGTAATTTCGTCTTTGTAAATATTATCTGCTTAGCTTCAATTTATTTAATGAATTTATAGAAGTTGAAGTACACATTTCAATTAGGTAGCAATATAACACTTTTATATCCTGAGCTTATATTAAGAAAGATATGACTAAAAATGACATTAAAATATATCAAAAATAGTATTACTTACATATCTCACACTTGCTTAACTACACCTTGTAAGTATTTTAAATAACTAAAAATACAAAATGTTTTCCTTTTAATGGATATTGTGGGAGTGATGACAGGTTACATTTCAATACTATTTGAAAAACATTGCTTAGATTGTAAAAGGAATCTTACTTATGTCTGCAGCTGTTTACTGATTTAAAGTACTACTTTTTTATTTTCCCCATCTTCCCTTTGTTTTTTCTAAACAAAAATTTTTCCTTTTGCTGGAAAGTGCCAATAAGCTTGCCTTTTGCTGGGCCTGTGAGAAGTAGTCCATGAACTCCCAGGGTCTGCAGCTTACAGGATGAAAAAAACAGTTAATAATTTCAAAGCAACATATAGCCTAATGGATAGAGTACCACACCAGCAGTGGGGAAGCCCAGTGCATGGATGTTTCCTGCAGCCAAGAAGTTTCTTAATTTCCATATATCTCTGTTACAGCAGAATTGGAGAGCATCGTCAAAGCAGTCTTTTTAGATCTTGTAGGTCTTTCTTTTTTCTCTTGTTCCTATATACAATCAATACATAGGCATATGTTGGGTACTTCCTATCTGTGTGTGTGTGTTTTTTTCTGTTACTGTTATTTCATTTTCACTTCACTCTGGTTTTGTTGTTTTGTGTTTCTGTTTTGTGGGGTTTTTTTCCTCCTTCTTTTCCTCCCAGGACATGGACGCTCTGTGGTACCCCGGAGTACCTTGCACCAGAAGTTATACAAAGCAAAGGCCATGGAAGAGCTGTAGATTGGTGGGCCCTGGGAATTCTTATATTTGAGATGCTGTCAGGGTAAGTGATAATGATTACTATATCACAGCAATATTATATATATATTTTTT